CACATTTCATGGCCCACTCGAAAAGCATGCGGCTGTTCAGCACCAGCTGGGCTTTGGAGCTGGTAGTTCGCTCATGGCAGCCAAGATCTGATGCTTCACAGTCTGCAGAACACACAGTCCATTAATTATTATCTTATAGCTTCTGATGGGAAACTTCATTTGGCCCGACAAGAGTCATTTTAAAAGGAACAGTTTGGGCATGTAAAGCATTTGGCCTCTTTCTGATATCTGACTTTTGGTTTGAACATTCAGCAGTTGGAATTTGAATTGAAATGGCTACTGGATGTTGGAATGGAATGACAGGAAGATGAATTTACTCAATTGCAATTGAAAGAAATCCAAGATAATCCAAAAAAAAAAAAAATACCAGACAAATGTCACTCGATGACTTCTCAGGCATTCTGCTTAAGGTTTTTTTTTTTTATCTTGTAAACCTGCTTCATGACTAAGAAATAAATTACAGCATTTTGGGAAATGTGTTCTTCTACCATATGATATTATATTAAATATATGAATTTTTTAATTTATATTTTACATTTTGAAATGCCATACTTAAATGCAAATATCTACAGATTGCATTTTACAAATTGGTTATAAATACATATTTTTTTCTGCAAGTACACCACATTTTGTTTATGAAAAATCATGGGGCTTACAAACTGATAAATTGGGTGCTCTATAAACTACAAACAGATGTTATATGAATTTATTTTTACTGCATTTTTAAGTCTACTTCTTTCTCAAATTAGAATTAAAATACAACATATTTTACTACCTCAGTTGAAAAATTTGATTAATCTTGATTTAATTCTAAATAACATAAAAAGTAGTTTTTCATTAAATGATTTTGATACCATTAAAATGTATATATTTATTGATATATATTTTATGTTTTTGAAATGCCATCATACTTAAATAAATGCAACTATCTATAGATTGCATTTTACATATTGGTTAGCATATATATATATATATAATTTTTTTTTTAGCAAATACTCCACATGTTGTCTATGAAAAATCATGAGGTTTTCAAACTGATAAATTAAGTGCTCTATAAACTACAAACCGATGTTATATGAATTTATTTTTATTGTATTTGTAAAACTTTCTCAAACTAGAATTAAAATACAACATTTTACTTTCTCAGTTGAAATTCATGAATTTGCTTAGTCTCAATTTAATTCTAAATAACATAAAAAGTGGCTTTTCATTAAATTATTCTGACACCATTTAAATTTTGACATATCAGTACTCTCAGACAAATCACATGCATTACATTGTTTTTATTTACCTTGTGGCTATTGAAAGAGTGGTCTGTTGTGTTAGTGCGCCTCCTCGTGGCGAGATTTATGAACAACAGGTACGTCGTGAGGTTAAAGCGCTGCAGTTTTCTATTGTTCCACCAGGGGGCAGTAGCACCCGTCAGTCATCATTACTGCCTCGAACCACAACAAATTGAAAAGGAAATTACTGTCAATCTATTGAGAGAATGAAGTTATGTCATATCATAGTCCATAGAGGGAAATAAATTGACAGATGGGCTACGGGTGCAGATTGAGCTGTTTTAAAGGAGGAGGACAAAAGGATGACAGTTAATTTTCTTTGTTTTATTCTACTGAATGAAATCCTCCCTTTCTTTCACATATCCCATTCCCTTGTTCCCTGTTTTCCGATCCATATTATGCCGTAAACAATGGTTGCATCAGGAAAATAATAGAGCAAACTGTGCTGAGTATGGTATTTCCATATATTCCTTTGTTCATCACGAATAAAAGAAAACCAAAAACAAGAATTGTGGGGACAAAGAGTGGACAATAGACCAGGATTATGAGGTAGGAAAATGTACCAGGAGTGCAAACAAAATGAGTGTCCTAAATAAAAATGAAAAATTTGCCTACCAAGAAATAACCCAACAGGACCAGGGCTGTTGCTCTCATTCTTTCCCAAAATCTTTCCCAAAATCTTCTCGCAGAGGTTTTAGTTCGTGGCTACCAGACCTTGTCTTTACTTGACATCCACAAACACACAGACACTTGTTTTTGACGATGTGGTGGAGAAGGGACGCTGAATGACTGAAGCCATCAATCATAACATCTCTGCTTCCATCTCTTTTTTTATCCACCGCAACTTCCTGCTGAAGACACGCATAATGTCTCTTGGATAAAATAAACATCAAACATAAGATTCTGAGTTCAGAAACATTTAAATGGCATCTTTTAGACTTTTTCCCCTGCAGAGGCGGCAATAAAACAAATCAGCTCGGTCAGGTGTAGTGAAGTGGGTCAACACAAAACCCGAGCCTTCATTGTACCTTTTTCCTCATTTTGATAAGGTTGTTTCATTAACATACACAAAAAAAAAATCCGTAAAATTTACAGTAAAAAACCGGTACTGAAATCTGTTTTGTACCTTTGTAATACACTGATAACCACCAAATGCAGGAGGTGATGAGAAAGTCACATGATGAACCAAAGCCCATCACAAGCAGCTTTTAAATAATAACATATATGGAAGGTGCACAGTATCATTCACACAAACACCAAACACCATCACGATAACACACATGAAACTGAAATAATGCAATAGACATTAATTGAACAACATTAGGTGTAACACACAACCCTAATATACAAAACTGATAAGAAAAAACTAAGAATAAAAAAAACGCAGGGAATTCTGTGAATGTCAATTTACGGTTATTCACTGTAAATTATACGGTATTTTTCACTTCCAAAAACGGTATACTACCGTGAAATTGATGTCCAATACATGTAATGTCCAATACAGTTTTTCACCGTATATAGTAGGGGAATTTACCGTTAACCATTTAACAGGTTTTTACTGTAGCATTTTTACAGTCTTTTACCGTTAAATTCACGGTAATTTTTTACAGTGTAGTCCTATCGAAGAGGGAAGTTTCACTCTAAACTGCTGATTCTGTGGGGAACATCGAGACTCAAACTTAATGTGTTTATTTATATAAACATACAGTTCATCTTCCACGCGCCTCCAGCCAAAGCGAAGCATCCGCACCAGGCTGCTCACAGACGGTCTTTCGCTCCGAGTTCTCGTCACGTTGACTGGCAGCGTTCTTGGGACTGAACATGGAAATGTGATCCTCCACAGCACCTGGGAGTCCTGCAGGAGACAGGATGTGTGTTTGGGTTCTGCTTGACTCCCGCATGTTTCTGTTCTGTATATTATCATGCACTATTGCCCTGTGGCCCACTAGGCCCCGGGCTCCTTCTGAGCCTGCCAGTCAATCAAGACTAAAACTCCAGCAGTTTAACGACAGATTACACTGGAATTCAGAGAAATTAAGCATTAAGCAAATTAAGGCAGCATTAAATTGAACTTAATTTAACAATAGGTATAACTCATACAAATAGAAAAGTAATTTATATAACATTGAAAACATACTGACAAACAGCAAACGAAATATTCAGAAAAGAAGAAACAACGTTTAAAAATGAGTCAGTGAATCGTTTATTTGATCACTGAATCATTTATTTAGATTAACTATTTTATTAAAATGTTAATTTCTTTTTTCGGCTCAAAAATGTGAAAGTAACTATCATTAACTCCTCCTTGATTATGCAAGGCATTGTGGGCAATATTAGAAGGTATGAATTAACGCTTTCAAAAATCCACCAGAAATAGTAACCATATGTGCATTTTTGGCGTCATATTTTCAATGTACAGTAGAGGGTTTATAAGATTTTTTTTTTTAAAGATTTTTCAAAAGTCAGTCATGCTCACCAAGGCTCCATTGATTTGATAAAAAAGTGAAATATTTTTCCAATTTAAAATAACTGTTTTCTATTTGAATATATTTTAAAATATAATTTATTTCTGTGATGGCAAAGTTGAATTTTCAGCATCGTTACTCCAGTCTTCAGTGTCACATGATCCTTCAGGAATCATTCTAAAATGCTGCATTGCTGCTCAAGAAACATTTCATATTATTATCAATGTTGAAAACAGTTGTGCTGCTTCATATTTTTGTGGACAACTGTGATATATTTTTCCCAGGATTCCTTGATGAATATAAAGTTCAGCATTTATTTGAAATAGATTTTAAAAAATCAAACTGATCCTAACCTTTTGAACTGAACTGTGTTCTATCTGAGATACATTAATTATGATCTTGCATGCTATTTATTACTTATATATATGAATTGAGATGCAGGCAGAGAAAGAGAGAGAGAGAGAGAGAATTGGGCGTGGCTAGAAATGTCCAATAGCATGAGAGAATAATAGAGGTGGAGAGACATACATTAGGAATGTAGGCGTCATAAACATAAAGAGAGAGAGACAAAGAGAGAAAGAGAGCACAACACAAGTGCATGTCATGTTAAATGAATATGGAAAAGAAAAAAAGTGAGAGAGTATAAAAGAAATAGCACTTTGATTGACTTATTTCCCCACACATGCTGGTTTGTCAGATTGTAGAAATGGAGAGTGCCGTTTTAATATTTCTTATTTTAGACACTCACATATAAACATCACACAGCATCAAAAATTCAAAACCCCACTCTATCATTGTAAATGTCCAAAACTTTTCCCCGGAGTTAAGATTCGTCCATTATGCCCAGTAATTCGCTAGACACACACATCGCCAGATGTCTTTCCCTCTTGCTTGTCACTAAAGAGTTTCTCTGTACAAACAGCAGGGGTCACTTAGTGAGAGGTCAAAGGTCAGGTTCCCAGCGTAGTGTAGCCATGGTGATGGCATCTGGAGAGTTGCAGCAAAGTGGAATCTCCTCGGCTTGTCAAACTGTCCCCCCACACACACACACACACACACACACACACACACGCTCCTGCTTGGGCTCATTAGGTTTATGATCTGTGTTTTTATTGTAGTGGACTCCTCTTCGAGATTGTTTATAATCTTGTTGGTTATGTACTTAATTATATACTGTGGTGTATGCTGTCCATAGATAACCACACACCAGAACACCAGCCACCCACATTATCCCATAAAATCACCCATCCTGTTACCTGGGCAACAGCTGTTCACTGGAGCTGACAGTGGAGTCCAGAACAGGCCCGGAGGGCTCGGTCTCCTCTCTCCCTGTCCTTGAGCTTTTCTCCCCGTGGCTCCAGAGCCTGGGCAGCTGAAGAGCAGAACAGAAAGAGCTGTGTGCATCTGCTTCTGTGAAGTCAGCACGCCTGGAGGCTGGCATTACGACAAGGTCAGGGGTCAACGCTTTCTGGGTGGCTTCTCCCATTTCGTTCTGCTGAAAGTCACGATGTAAAAAACACAGTTTGAGAGATGTTTCTCATGAGTCGAGAATTATGATAAATTGCTTCCAAACTGTGTGGAAACCAAATGGACCTAAACATTCTTTACAAAAATGTACCATGGTAATTAAAGTTTCTGGCAAAATCCCACAGTTAGTGCAGTCTTTGTTGCTACTGTGGAACATACTTGATTAAAATGAGATCAGAATCATCTTTTGCAAACAATCATTTGCATAAACTTAATATAACAAACAAGCCTTTAGGAAAGAACACAGAATTTGATTAGAATTAGATTAAATGGAGAGCAAAGAGTGAGTTCTGCTTTAGTCATCTGGTTTTTAGATTTTTCACCACAGAAAAAAAAAACGTACTCACATGTGACGTGCATAATCTCACGCACAGTTCGAGACTTCAACAATGTCTCGAACTGTGCACAGATTTTCAACATATCAAAGTTTGCAAAGTCAAAATTCAGGCAAAACCTCACGATTTGTTACCTTTCAGCTCTAAACTGATGTGTTACGTCACATCAACAGTTTCTCATTTGTGTCTATTTTTATTTATTCTTATAGTTTTTTTTATTTATTTAATATAGTTTAGGAGAAATGTTTGTACCCAATAAGCTATGACTGAAAAAAAAAAAGATTATATTAAATATTATATATGTATGCACACAAACATAAAAAAATAAAATTATATATATATATATATAT